CGATCAACCGTAATGTAGATGAATTTTAAAGCGTTCACGTGTTGAAACCTGACTTTGTTGGCAGTCACAGGCTATATCAAAGCACGTGAAAAAATACCAAATTTTTTCACGTGTGTTATTACGGCTTCTCCTTGGGCCAGAAATCCCTGTATAACACTGCATTTTATGTGATAATGTAAATTTATTTTCTCGTACGTGGTGATGATAACGATAAATTTATGGTTATTAGCAAGAGCACGAGGGTATATGCTAATCATACACGATGTTACCAAAATAATTTGGCAAGAAAAACAGTTAAGTAAAGCGACTTTCTTGTTTGATTGGTCAAGTTTTTAAAACTCATTTCAACAGTTGCCTTTTTGTTTTGGTTATAAAAAGTCCGTTTCCTATAGATAATTAAATTCAATAGCAATAAAATCAGTATTTAAAACCAACCTTGCGTTACGGAAGTTAGTACTTTTTCCAATGTACACTGCATCATACCACGTCCTTAATGCATTTCCCACCTTACCAATATTTCGAACTACCCACGACACTTCAAACTTCAGACCAGAAAAAGCGTTTGGAGGTACTATGACCTTCTCAACTTTAAAATCCGGAAAAGCCCTGGTTTGGAATCCCCAGATGGGACTGGGTACCAGAGCACCTGAACTCAGAACGTATTCAATTCTCCACAGCATCTTAGTGTCGGCGGGGTAGCCTGGGTAAGAGGGAGCATATCTTCGATAATAAGTCCTGAAAGAAGATTATTAAATTAGCCATGAGCTACAGAAACTGTAAAATAATTCACACATCAGTTCGTCGTGCTGTGGTTGTTCAAGAACTCTGTGGTTAAATAATTTTTTTTCTTTTGGAGAGCATTACAAAAAAAAGAAAGATGATTTATTCATTTATCAACATACCAGTGAGTTGGCGATGAAGGCTTTGTAGATCCGTATTGCCAGACGTAGACGTTGTAACGAGCAGACCCTGGATACCGAGGCCACTCGAGCGATTCTCTCAGCGCCACATTAACCTGTCCATTTTTGGGATAGTCTGGTAACTGAAGAGCTAAGATCCGAATCTGTTGGATAACAGATACTTGCTTCCCACAGTCATCTGTAATCGTCCATGTTCTCTTAAAGGTCCTAGCGCAAAGAATTGTGGGAACAGAATCTACGTGTGTTATCGTGATTGGCCGATCGCACGGATGAGTGACATTAATGGCATCCC